TAGGGAATTATATTTCACCACTGGGAGTGGTGAAGTTCACAGCTCCTTAAGTCTCAGGTTATCTAAGCTGGAAATGATATAGAAACACTGAGTGTGGTGGAGCTCTCAGCTACACTCAGTAGTGGTGGTTGAACACAATGTAATAGAAGTGGGGGGATGGATTTCTGCAAGAACTTGTTAGGACTCTTTTCCAAAAGTATCAACACCTGCTTTTTCTCCCAGCTCCTCAGGCCTCTGAGTTTGTCCTTAAGTCTCAGGTTATCTAAGCTGGAAATGATATAGAAACACTGAGTGTGGTGGAGCTCTCAGCTACACTCAGTAGTGGTGGTTGAACACAATGTAATAGAAGTGGGGGGATGGATTTCTGCAAGAACTTGTTAGGACTCTTTTCCAAAAGTATCAACACCTGCTTTTTCTCCCAGCTCCTCAGGCCTCTGAGTTTGTGTACTGTGTATTCTTGGTGCTGCTTTTCCCATAGAATCTTCCTTCCATGACCACAAGCTTTGTAGAATGCACAGTATTTGTCTTAGAAAAGTAGCTTTGTCTAGCTGTTGGCAGGCCTATTGCCTATGTACCATCTCATCTTCCATAACATCCTTTCACTCTGACACTTCCTTGATGCCAGCTGTTTCTTCAAGGGCTGGATTTGTCTGTAATGAGGATGCAGACTTCTCTGAGGAACTTATTCTCTGGGAGCATTGCTAGCTGGGTTTGGGGAGGGTTGGAAGGGGCATTTTCCAGTGGTTCAGAGTAATGCTGACTCTCATAGCATTTGCATGTCAAAGAACGTAGACGTTGTTAAAACAAAGTACAGTAATTCCTCATTTAACACTATATTCATGTGTTTCTGAAAATGTTTGTGCTAAGCGAAAATGTGTTATGCGGGGTCAATTTTCCCATTAAAAATAATGGAAAAGGTGGGGGTTGCGTTTCAGATGGTGGTGGCAAAGTCAATTTTTTGTTGGTGCTGGGTCGTCAACGTCAACATTAGATCTCTAGCAACACAAGTCGCTGCGGTTTGTTAAAACACAAAGATAAACACGTGAGTGAGTGGAGGAGCGCTGTGACCACGTGAATTCATCCGCTCATGTGTATTACCAATGTTTTCACCAACTTATACAGCTGCGCGAAGTAGTCCACTACTTGATTATTTTCGTGTTATTTTGGGGATGGTCACGTTATTTGAAAAATGTTCCCTAAAAAAAAAAATTGTGCTATTGCAAAAACGTGTTAAGTGGGCACGTGTTAAACGAGTAATTATTGTACTCAAAGGGAGGTGGGGAGGGAACCTCTGGAGCCACATAGATAGTTTGAATGAGCCTCTGAAATTCCACCTGTGGCTGTGATCCTGTCAGTTCTCAAACTGAGAAGGGTTGGCCTGGATCTATATTCAAATAGGGGGCTTCCTAGAACGAAACAGATGAGTAGAGGTGACAGCTCAGTAAATGCTGCTCTACCCTCTCAGTCCCCATAGTACGAGTGCCCCAGCAAGGAGGCTCTATGCTTCTGGAGGAGCATTAAACCAGAAGTCCTGCTCACTGGTGCTCACTACAGAGACACTGGTACCTTTCCCAGCAGTGAACTATTAATGCTGGTGCCCTGGCTAACTGCCCTGTTGGGTAATTACAACCTCTGTCCCTAGATTCCCCCGAGTTTCAGCTGGAGATAGTGCACAGCAGGGAAGTGAGGAATGCCTCTGTTAAACAGTCACTGGGCAGCCTGTTGTCAGTGGTGGGCGCTCTGATTCATGTGCATGTCTTGGGCCAGCTCTCACGAGGTGTGTGCTCCCACAGCTCCAGCTGAGACATCTTTGAGAACGGAGGACATGCAGGACCAGGCCAGTAGATTGTGAAGTGCTTCAGGAACTTTCTGGTTGAACAGGGCTCTATAAATGTTGAACACTAGCAGGGTGTATTGAGTGGCATTAAAACAAGGGTGTTACTCTGAGAGTCTCAGGTTCTGTGTGAAAAGAGTTGATGAAGGGGGGAGCTTCATAGGCAAGGCAGAAGTCTGGTTTCTAACTAGATAAATAAAGGACGATATTTTTTCCTAACGAGGAAACTGCATTCTTTGTGAGCAAAACCAGCTTCCTCTCCCAGCATAGCCAATGTTGATTAACTCAGATACTTGTTAACTTTTTAGAGCAGTAATGGGATAGAGAAATGGAGATGACCAGCCCTTTACTCACCAAATAGCATCTTAGGGAAGAAAATACTGGTAGCTTTCTGTTTACGTTTGCTGAAGAACTGTGATAAGCTACTAACCCAAATCTAAACCCTGATATGATGTACACCTGAACCCAGACAAAGGCTGCTACTAAAGGTTGCCTCCTGAACTAGTCTGGATTTCAGCCCTTTAACTCAATTGATTTGCTCAGTGGATTTTGCATTAGCACATGAAACACTGACCTAGTCATGTTAGGGGCAGCAAAAACAGTACAGAGTAGTTGTGGCTTCAGGTCTAGAAGCTCATGGCACTAGAAATGTAGACTACATTTGCTACAAATAAGTTCAGCCTCCCTGTCTTAATTAGGCCTCTTCCGGCTTCTGCACCACCAGGCACGTGTTTCATGCTCTTCTAGACTGGGCCAGGGAGGGGGTTTGCAATTGACATTAGAGCTGGGAGAGTAGAGAGGATTGCATGTCTGCAGCAGTGTGTTTACTGAGGTGGAGGAAGTTGTCAGTTATGAACCATTGCAGGTGAAAGGTGCCAGAGAAGCATGCTGTGCCCCAGCATGACTAAAGGATGGTGAGCGTTGAAGTTGTAGTCTTCTGGATAATCCACCGAATTGGTATTAGCGCTTAGGCTCGGGGCCAAATGCCATTGGCCATCCTAAATTCCCATTCACCCTGCTGTGGGATTCTCGTCACTTGTCTGAGCTGGTATGTGGTTCAACAGTGCCACCCATGATGATCCTGTTCAAAAGTTTCCTGTGTCTGGAATTGGTCAGCTCAGTTGCTTAAGGACTTTCCTAAATGAAAACTGCCTTGTAAATGCTGGGCTGTGTGCTCCACCCCGAGTACAGTAGGTAACATATGCCAAGCTAATGCACCTTTTTGGCAGCTCTCTTTCCTAGAGGGAAATGAAGATGTCTGCTAAGGGAGCTGCCCTGGTGCCACTATGAGATACCTGTTCCTTCTCTTTCAGCAATTCCCCTTACTGCGTATGGACCAATGGGAGGGACAGGTAACTGCCACTTTCCTACTTGGTGAAGCAACCTGACCGAGGTTTGCATTGGGCTACAGGAGGGGGGTGGGACGGGGTTGCATTTTTTGGATCTTCACCATATAGTTTTGCTTCCTCCCTTAGGTTCTACTCCAAGCCGCACTGGTGGGTTTCTGGGTACAACGAGTCCTGGGCCAATGGCAGAACTTTACGGAGCAGCCAATCAGGATTCAGGGGTCAGCAGTTATATCAGTGCTGCAAGTCCAGCTCCAAGTACTGGCTTTGGCCACAGCTTAGGGGTGAGTGTTTCACATCAGCTGTTGAGGTTGGGAGAGTTGAAGGAGGTTGGGTGTGTATCAGTCATGAAATTGGAATGGTGATTTCTACAACTCTGAATATCCAAACCATAATGGCTACAGGCAACCTCAAGGCTTGGTTACTGCAATATACTGTTCGTAAGCTTAAAAACACTAACTTTAAAAAGGCCACAATGGTTACTAATGCAGCAGCTTACTCAGCAGTCTGCTGCATGCATATCAGCTCTGCTTTCAACACTGCTTCCCTGATGAACACCAAGTCAAGTGCTAGGTCTTGGTCCCAATCTTCCAAACCCTCCACAGAACTGGCCCAAACTACCCAAGGGCCTATTACCTCACTCTGACCATAGCCTGATCATGACAGCTACATTTTTCTGCCGGGATGGAACTGGCATCTCAAAGATGAGACTTCTGAGTCGTGGCAACAGCTTTCCCAACACTTGGCCATGACTGAACTGACCACCCTACGTATTCAGAAAGACCACAACCATCCTCACTGTCAGAATGAAACCCACAAACTTCCCAGGGTAGAATGCACATGGATCCCCAGGAATAATAAATGGCTGGGTAGGGAGGGGGAGAGTGCAGAGCAAATATCTGCTAACTACATGTTTTCCTGTAGAATGTGGGGCTACAGCTGGGAGATGCCTGGGGATTCCATATAACTCTGGAGGGGATATTAGGAAACTCTGAAGAGACTGTCTAGTGAGTGCATGTTTCCACTGAGTGGGAGATAGCATGAGGGCCATATCACTCTGTAAATCTCAGTGTGCTGAGAGCTCTCCGGGTGGGGGTGGGAAGCACCTGATTCCAGTCAGCTATCTAAAGGAGGTCACAGTGTCTTTAGGAATAGTACCTTCAGGGAGTTGACCAATATCCCAATCAGTGCCTGTGTGGGGAGGGAAGGATGGATAAATCACACTCTCAAACTCAACCCTTTTCCTTTGGTTTGTCTAATCAGGGGATTTGAATCCTTTCTCTGTAGGGTCCCTTGATTGCAACAGCTTTTACCAATGGGTACCACTGAAGCTAGCGACCAAGGAGGCAGGAGGTAAGATGTTTAACAGGAGGTTTTGGGAGAGGCATGAGGGGAGTGAAGCTATGGGATTGGCCTGTCTTGAGCCTCCAAAGGAGGGGATTTTATTCAGCAACACTGAGTTTCCTGTTAGTTAGGCTGATATTCAGGGACGTCATCTGAAGGGGAGGGCAAGGAGGACAGGCCTCTGAGGCCAGAAGGCTGTGCTCAGTGCTGGCAGGGAGAAGGGGGAGCATTAGGTTGGAATGTAGGAGATAGTATGGAGACCTAATAGGAAATCAGGGAGTTGATGGAGATGGGAAATAGACATACACAACTGGCCAGAATCTTAAGGGAAGGTGAGCTCTCGCAATGCCACTCTCTGGAAGGACATGTCTCTCCCACCCTTTGCATTCCCCTGCATGCCACTAACTCTCCACATCTCTCTGCTGCTGAGTGTGCTGCATCTCTGGAGTGGTGTTTCCTCTCCATGGAGGTGGTCTGTGGAGAGAAAAGAGGCTTCCACACCCAAGTGGGAGAGGGGAAAACCCTACGTGCAGTGCCAGCGGTATTCCTTAGAAGGGGGTGAGGAGAAGCTGTTGGAGGATCCTGGTGCACGCCTCAAAAGTGGCAGAAATTTGGTAGCTTAAAAATGGAAATGTGACTAATGAGTAGGGCAGATGTTTCTGCCGGGATGGTGTGACTGCCTCTCTTTAACCAGGGATAGCTTGAGTTCAGTTTGCAGCATGTAATAAGCCTCATTTTTAATACAGAAGCTTGATGCAGGAAGCCTATGGACTTTAGCATACAGTTCTCCTTGACCCAAGAGGGCGATGCAGGGGCTTGTCCCTTTGGCCCACACCCTCAGGTTAAAAATAGGGGCAGTTGCACTATGCTCCAGTTCACTGCCAGTCAAGTGTGATCTTCATGCTAATGCCCAGGTGCCAGCACAAGCCTGTGTTGGGGGAAGCTTGTGTAACACCTGTGGCTGTGTCAGATATGACCAAAAAATGAAAAGTTGTTAGTGTTTGTTGGTTTGTCTCCTTTTACCCCTCTGTACTCTCCATCTCTGCTGGTCTTCTGCAGATTCCCCAGTGACCTAACCAAGGACAGCAGGCTGGAGGATCTGGTGAGCCTTGGAAAATGAGCCAAGGTTTCCTTTTTACTGAATAAAACTGCACACTGCCGGCTGGCTGCCAGGCTCCTGCTGATCTGACCTGATCTCTCCCATTGAACAGACCACACTGGACTGAACCCATGGAGATCATCTCGCTTTCTTACTAACCACCGATGGTTTACGCTTCTCCCTCCCCCAGCCCGATTCTTCTTTATTTATTTTATTAGCTGGTAGTTTTATTTTTTATTTTATTTTTTTATCTATTTTTTTGGGAGGGGGGGTGACCCTCCTTTCCATTGTTTGCTCTTTCCTGAGCTGGTAGACATATTTTATGAATTGGCTTTTTGTGATCGTGTTAGGTAGTTTTTAATGACGCGTATTTTTATTTGGCTTTGAAATTGTTTTGAATCTTTTCAGCTCTGTTGTCAACATTTTAAAAGGACAGTATGTGATATGAATGCAGTTCTGAAGGGAAGAGAGACGCAGAGAGAGAAAAAGAAGGCTGAGCAGAACTGACGCATTTCTTTTTTTTTTTTAAACATTTTTAATTGTTTTGTAAATGTGAGGCTTTCAAATGCGTGAAGTCCAAGGATCTGAAAAGGTGGGGCACCGCTTCAGAACAAAACAAATGTATATTTTGCTAAGTAAAAACACTACCCTTACAGCTGAAAGTATTTTTGTTTTCCTAGATTTTAGTTTTACGTGGGGTTTTCTTTTTCCTCGTGTATAATATGTAAATATTGTGAGGTGAACCTGGCTGCTGCCTGACTTCAAGGAGCAGCTCCAGGTTCTTGAACCTGGCACCTCAGTGCGAGCAATATTCTCCAGCAGAACCTTGACAGAACTCCTTTTTTTGTACACCTTTTACTGTAAGATTTTAAGACCTCTGATGTGAAGTGGGGGGGAAGAGGGGAATGAAACTTACCAGCCATCGGCTATTTTGCTGAGCGGGTTAAAGCTGCTTCCACTTGTTTGATGTACAGACTGCACCAGTAAGCTTCCTAAGTGCCAGCATCTAGTTTGGCTAGGCAAAGGGCTTACTGCCTGTCTGTCTTCATTACTCTGAAAGGATTGACTCTCCAAGTAGTATTGCTTGTGTCGAGATGGTGGGGAAGGAGATCATCCTCTAGGGCTAAGGGCATTAGGAAGGGCTCACTGTCAGGGAGATGGGATGGTCCTTCCCTGAAGGGCGCAGCATTGTGTGGGGAAAGTCTTTTTTTTTTTTTTTTTTAATTAGGAAGAAAAAAGTGCTAGGGGTGGTGATCTATGGGGGAAAGGTGAGAAAAGGGCTTCTCAGGGATCGTATGAATTCTAGAATCACAGCTTCCCATTTGCTTTCCTTTGTGTCCTGGAATCTGTGGGAGTTTGTCCTCAGTTCTGTAAACTGATTATATGGTCCCTTCTCCTGAGGCTGCCCAAGCCCTTGTTAACAAGTAGCCTCTACTGTGGGGTTGCCTCAAGGAGGAATTTAAGGGGCATGTTTGGGTCTGGATTTGTTTCAAGTGAACCAAAGACCGTGTTAAGGGTGGGGTGATTAAGCCTTTCATTAAGATGCAGCCCAACACTTTTCCCAGGGAAATAATGCAGCTTCATCTTAAGTTTTAAAAATCATCCCCTTTCTTCTTCCAAAATGAGCCCCAGTAAGTGAGAGGTTTGGGGGGAGGGGCTGTAGTGTCCACATGGACCCCTTCATCCCTTCTGCTTCCCTCGCAGCCCTGTGGCTACCCCTGAAGCCAGCAGCATGGGCCATGCCTGACCAAGCTATACTTTTGGAGAGTTCTGTTTAGTAAGAGGTACTTAATGGGTTAGTACTGAAAACACAAAGCAATAATTTTTGTTACCGAGACAAGAGTCTGTATGTCTGTGTTTTTTTTAATATTTCCTAATGAAAGAAGAGCTGCATTTTATTAGGTTTATTTTTATTCTGTATACTTCAAATTTGGGTCTGCAGACAGCGCTTTCCTCCCTCTTGGTACATGCGCCGAGCTGCTTCTGTGCCCGCTCCACACACCTCCCAGCTCCACTGTATTGCCACTGGGCTATGATTCACTCTCTAGCCGGTGTTGCTGCTGCCCAGAGGCTGGGGCGCTGGGTTTAGGGGGTTGAGAGTGGGCATTTTTTTTAAAAAGAAATAAAACCATGTTTTGAAGCCAGTAAGTTATTACACTCCAATGTTTGTTCTCTCTACACCTGTAACCCTTTTTCCAGATTTTCAGTTTTAAATTCCTAATAAATTATTTGAAAATGGTCTTTCTCTGTTATGGTGTGTATATGAGTGACTCTGAATTTGGGAACGGTTTCACCCAGGTTTGGGGGTGCAGGAAATATTGCATTCAACTCCCAGCTCTGGTATATGGCTTACCTCTCTTGAGCATCTGTTCCCCATCAGTAAAACAGAGATGATAATTTTTCCCCACTTCACAGGAGTTGTGCATGGATGTCTGTGGATTTCAGGAAGGGAGAGAAACACGAGGAAATCAAAAAGTCTGAAGATGTTCTTTGGATTTGCTGAACACAGTAGTACAAGTGAGATTGCAAGACAGTAAGTTGTGGAAAATGAAGAAATCTAACAAGTAAAGAGCACTGGGAGGAAATATTAAAATCTGCCAGTGTAGGAGAAAATTGTGCACTCCTAAAAAGCACTCTTCTAATACACAGCAGGCCACAATGCTGCTGAGAGAAGAATGCGAACAATAAGCAGCTAGTGTAGGTTCACGAAACATTATTTAAAAAATCAGCTGATGAAAGTAACCCCAAGAGTCATGACGAAGTCTGCATTTAATAACGCAAATGCTGCTGTATTGTCATAGCTAACTGTCAAGGCGAGAAACTTTAGGATAGACTGATTCATAGAATCCCTAACTTTAATCTAGTATCCATCAGTGATGGAATGAAATGTATCTTGTTTCCCTTTGTTTGGTGTCACTAGATTACTTTCCAGTGCACTAATATAGGTTATTTCCAAGCAACCAAACAAAAGTTCTCAGAGCCTTGAATTTACCCTTGCCCCATGTGGGCCTTGTGCACATGGAACACACAAAAATAGGTGTAACAACTGAAGGTGAAAATAGTAGAGGGAAAAAACAGTCAATGGGGAAAGGTGAAATTAATGGTGATTCTAAAGCAGCTAAATTGTTTTAAATCTGGCTCCAATAAAGGAGAGGTTTAGATAGAGTTGTGAGTCTTGAACTGTGACTTGATGAAAAGCAGCGAAGAGAGTACTTGGAATATGAACACATATAAAGCAAATACTTTGAATAACCTGTATCTCAGGGTGCAAAGGGACTCAACTATCTTGCTGAATCAATGAAAAAAGAACTGGGGAGGAAACCAAGAATTTAAAAAACAAACAGCATGTGGAACACAAGGAGAAAAAAGTCATCTTGGTAACTGCAAACAATAGCAGTTTCAGTCCCTTAATACAATTATAGCAAGAGTCTGAGCAGAGAGCCTAGTTTGCACTGAGAATGTAAGAGAGTTCTTTCAACTTTTCTCTAGCTTTGTGCAACTCCACCAGTGTTTGAAATAGTAGGGGTACTAGTATAGACTAGTCACCCAGTGGTTTTGCTACCATATTAATTAGACTTACTCTGACCAGGCTTAGAAGATAGATTGGTAAAAATGTAAGTGGTCAGTTGCCCACTTTTGCTAGTTTTGATGAGATGGTCCAGCAACTAGGTAGGTGGGAGAATTGGCTAAATGTCTCAAGGTAGTTGCATCTCTAGAGGATACTGGAACAGTAAGTAATAAATATGGCATGTTTTTATTTATAAACATGGTTCTGGAGAGACTTGATCACACAAAGCACAAAATGAGGAGCCACAGAAAACAGTAGCTGGAAATACCTGGATATTAGTAAAGCACTTGAATTAAACTTGCCTGTAAAAATTGAGACATTGAAATATGTTTGAAGGAACATAGATTCAGGGGAATGATAACAGATAAAGTATTGGGTGGGATGTAGGGAGGTGGGGAACAGCTTGTATTTAAACCAACTTTAGTATCATTTATGCTCTGGACAATAGCCAGAACTCTGTGACAGACGTGACCAGGCACTTCCAGCCCAATTCAGAAGCCAGCACTGGAAAATCAGTATCTTTGTGATAAATGGTAACCAGATGGGTGAGTTAGAAATAGTGAGCCCAGTTCACCCCTGGAATAACTGCTGAAGTTGATTAAGGATCAATTTGGCGCTCTCGCGTTAGATGGTTTGTCTTTCCGAGAGTGTGAGTATCATGCCACCTGCTTATTTCTGGAATCAATTCATCAACAATTCTTTCCATTTGCAACTCTGTCATCAATCTGACATCTGACTGGAGAGAACTGGATGTAATTGTTCCCAAAGCAGTCAAAGGTCAGCAGGATTATAGCTAGAGGAAGATCCAGTGGTGCAGCTCTAATTGGAGGTGTCCTTGGTTAAGTCTGTAGTACTAGGATCACTTTTAGTGTGGGGCACTGAAATATTAGAGTGCATTAAAGTGAAATCTGTATTTCCAGGAAGGTTTATAGGCATAGGAGAAAGGACATTTTAAGGCACTGATAATTCTCCAATGCCTTCTGGAAACAGGTTTGCTGAGTGGCTTCCATTGATCAAATAGGGTATGACTAGAGTACAGGCTTTTGTTGACAGAAGTTTTGTCGATAGATACTGTCGACAAAGCTTCTGTCGACAAAGAGTGTCTAGACTACATCCAGTTCTGTCGACAAAGCAAGCCGCTTTGTCGACATGAGTGTAGATGCCAAGGACAGTGTAGATGCAATAATGCCTTCTGTCGACAGAACTCTGTTAACAAAAGGCGTTATTCCTTGTAGATGAGGTTTACAGCCATTGACAAACTGCTGAGTTCTGTCGACATTATGTCAACAGAACTCAGTGGCAATGTAGACGCAGGTATAGTTTTGTCGACAAAAGTGCACTTTTGTCGACAAAACCCTGTAGTCTAGACACACCCATTCAGGCCAGACATCTCTACATCGTTAGTTTTAATGCTGCCTGTGGAGATGGCAGATCCCAAGATGTAAAGTTGATCCCAGGAGCCTGGGGGAACACATGCCATTTAAAAATAGCTTGACTGCCTATAATCTTCTCCATTTCATGTAAACTACATTTGGCAAGATGCTAATGTAGCCAGTTTTGTTGTCCCAGGCTACCCCTGCACAAGAATGAACTTGCCTGTGTGTTGGGGCCTGCTTATGGTTTACGTCTCAGTGATGAAAGCCCAGCTGGATCTTTTCTGAATTCTGATTGGGAACTGCAGCCATAGTAACTCATGTTACTTGCTCAGACTATTCCTTTCTACATTCCTCTTCTCCTTTCTTTATATCCGACCACCAATATTTTCCATGTTATGGCCGTTTCTGAAGAAGATGAGGTTACATTCCTACTTGCCAAACACTCATGACTCTCCTTCCTTCAGCTTTTCAAAAGAACAGTCTGCTTATCCCTTAGCATCACACAGCCCCTCCACAAAACAAGACCATTCAGAATGGGCTGAACTGCTGGTGATGAGATCCCCAGGGTACACCCTGGAACTGTGGTACTGCTGTGGCCCCCTAATTGTTCCAGCCTGGGGAGTGTCTGATAATGCCTTGCCAGTGACTGAGAGCAACCCCTCCAGATGCTGTTGTTATACCAAAAAACTGCATGTGGACCCAACACTCCCAGCTAGATTGCCTGAATGTACCCAGAGCCACCCATGAATCACAGAGAAAGGCACCAGCTAATCCTTTATAGTGCCCAGCACTGTAACTCAGGAATATATCCTCTAATTTATTAATTGGTTCACCACTTCATCAATGGAAAGTGTATGTACATCAGCTTTTATAAACCTGAGCAGATTTGTCTCATACTTCATACAAACTCATTGGTAAAGATAAACAGTAAAAAGTTTGATTACAAAGGTAGGATATAAGTGACTATAAGTATTAGACAAAAAGAGTAGTTATCAAAAGAAAAAAATACAAATATATACTCTAAACTCTCAACCCTAATAGACTAGGCCACAACTAGATCAAGAAGGTTTTTTTTACCCTCCTGGATACTGCAAATTTCACTCTTGAAAACAGGTTCAGTTCTCTTTGTTGGGATCTTCAGTCTTCTCTGTCCTGGTTGCTTGCAGTGAAAATTTATGAAGGAAATCTTGGGCCCCTGTGATTGGATTTCTTACTCTTAGTCCATATGCTTGGCGAACACAAGTCCAGGCATGTCTGGTGGGCATTGCCCAGTCCTCCGGCAAAGTTGAGCAGTTTCTCTGGCGTGGTTCATGCAGGTGAGTCATGGAATTGACGCTCCTCCCCTAGGAGGCCCTACCAGAATGGGGGCCAAGAGGGCCATTTGGCCTGGCCTCAGGAGACGAAAGGGCTTCAAAATGACATTTTTCTATGAAGTCAGTCTATTTATTATATTATTTATTATTTATCTATTTATTATATAACTTGCAGTTATAACAGAGAAAACAAAAGAAACTATATATACCTGCAAAACACGAATTGAAATCACTGTGGGACCTCAGGCATTCACCAATTTTTCAGTTTCATCTGAGTATTCAGCTGCATGACTGGAGTAGCTTCTGAGATTAGTGCTTCTACATCATGAAACACTGTTACAGTCTTTGCATAGTTTAGAGGTTTTGAAAGTTGTAATTAATTTTGTTACTGTAAAGTTATTTTGCTTGGTTTGAGGGTGAGTTTAACCTTTAAATTAGATGTTTAACTTTGCATAGGATATTTTTATACTCCTTTTTTTTCTGATTTCTTATACAATAACCATATCAAGCTCAGCTATAAGCTACCTCTTTGTCCAGTTTTAGTTTCACCTTTAAAAGCTTTTTTGTGATGATAAACTTTTAATTCTAGTTGTTTAATAAACTTTATATGTAATCTGGCAATCACCGCATGTTCATATTCATAACACACCAGTTATTAGAAGAATTTAATAATGGGAACTTGTTAGCACACAAAATTTCAAGCCTTTGAAATAAGGCTATAAGAGCTGTTGTAAACAATACCCCAAACCATTATTATATAATATTCATTGTGAAGTATATACAATAAAACTCTGTATAACCAGCCTTTAGTGAATTAATTTGTGTTACTGTGTTTTAAAAGAACCCCTTTATAAAAATGAAGCAAAGATTTGAAAGTGGTGCAAGTAAGAGATGGTAAAAGCCACAGAGTGAAGCAGCAGTTAAGAGTTTAAAGCCAATATATAATTTCTCGTATAAAAGAACCTCGGCCATTACACAGTGACC